TGCCGCAGCAGCTGCTGTGTCTGCTGCTGCATCGTTTCTTGCGTCTGCTGCGTCTGCTGCTGCAGCTTCTGCTGCTGCGTCTGCTGCTGCGTCTGCTGCTGCTGCGTCTGCTGCTGCTGCGTCTGCTGCTGCGTCTGCTGCTGCGTCTGCTGCTGCGTCTGCTGCTGCTGCGTCTGCTGCTGCGTCTGCTGCTGCGTCTGCTGCTGCTGCGTCTGCTGCTGCTTCTGCTGCCACCGGCGCTGCTGTATCAGCAGCTGCGGCTTCTTCGGCTGTATTTGCTGCTGCAGTTGCTTCTCCCGCTGCGTTTGTTGCTGCATCTGCTGCTGTTGCTGCTGCTGCGTCTGTTGCGGGTCCTGCTGCTGCGTCTGCTGCGGTCTCTGCTGCTGCTGCTGCTGCTGCTGCTGCACTAGCTTCTGCTTCAGTGGCTGCTGCTTCTGCTGCTGCGTCTGCTGGCCCGGGAGCTGCAGCAGAAGCAGCTGCTGCGCCTACTGTTACATCTGCTGCTGCTGCTGCTGCTGCTGCTGCTGCGGCTGCTGTTGTGTCTGCTTCTACTGCTGCATCGCTTTCTGCTGCTGCGTCGGTTGCTGTCTCCGTTGCTGCTGCAACTACTATTTGATTTGCTGCTGCAGCTGCTGCTGCTTCTGCTGCTGCGTCTGCTGCTGTAATAGTTCCTGCATCAGACGCTGTTGCCTCTGCTGCTGGGCCTGCTGTTGCTGCTGCTGCTGCTGCTGTGTCTGCTGCTGCTGCTGCTGCTGCATCAGCTGATGCGTCAGCTGTTGTTGCATCTGCTGCTGCCTCTGCTGCTGCTGGAGATACTGCAGCAGCAGCTACCGCTTCAGTTGCTGCCTCTGTTGCTGCTGCATCTGTTGCTGCTTCCTCTGTTGCTGCTGCATCTGCTGCTGCATCAGAAGCTGCTGCGTCTGTTGCTGCATCTGCTGCTGCTGCTTCTACTGCTGCTTCTGCTGCTGTCTCTTCTGCAGTGTCTGCTGCTGCATCCCCTGCATATATTGCTGCTTCTGCTGCTGCGTCTGCTGCTGCTCCTGCTGCTGCATCTGCTGCTGTCTGCGCCGCTGACTCTGCTGCTGCGTTTGCTGCTGGCTCTGCTGCTGCTTCTGCTGCTGTTTCCCCTGTTGCTGCTGCTGCTGCAGCGTCTGCTGCTGCAGCGCCTGCTGCTGCAGTGCCTGCTGCTGCAGCGCCTGCTGCTGCAGTAGTTTCTGCGCCAGAAGCTGCTGCGTCGGCAGCTGCCCCTGCTTCTGCACCTGCTGCTGCGTCTGCTGCGTTTGCTGCTGCTTCTGCTGCTGCGTCTGCTGCTGCTTCTGCTGCTGCTTCTGCTGCTGCTTCTGCTGCTTCTTCTGCTGCTGAGGTAGGGGCCATGGTATCAACTGCATCAGCAGCAGCTGCTGCTTCTGCTGCATCTGCTGCTGCTGCATCTGCTGCTGTTTCTGCTGCTGACACTGCAGCAGTGGGTGCTGCTGCATCTGCTGCTGCGCCAGCAGCTTCCTCTGCTGCTGCAGCAGCTGCTTCTGCTGCTGCTCGTGCTGCTGCAGCTGTGCTAGGACCTAGTTCTTCTGCTGCTGCATCGGGTGCTTCTTCTGGTGATTGCGCAGCAGCAGCAGCAGCAGCAGCAGCAGCAACATCTGCTGCTGCTGCTGCTGGGGAGGAATCAGGAGCAGCAGCTACAGCAGCGGTTGCTGTTTCGTCCTCTGCTGCAGTTGCTGCTGCAGCGTCGTCAGCTGCTGCTGCCGCCGTTGCTGCAGCAGCAGCTGCTGCTGCTGCACTCGCTGGTTGAGGAGTTGCTGTATTAGCAGCTGCTTCTTCTGCTGCTGGTTCTGCTGCAGTTGCTGCTGCAGTTGCTGCTTCTGCTGCTGCTGCGCGAGCCGCTGGTGCTTCCGTTGCTGCATGTGCTGCTGCTGCATCAGCAGTTGCATCGTCGGCTGTTGCTGCTGCTGCAGTTGCTTCTGTTGCTGCTGCTGGTGCAGTTGCTTCTGCTGCTGCTGCTGCAGTTGATTCTGCTGCTGCTGCTGCTGCAGTTACTTCTGCTGCTGCTTCCTCTATTCCTGCTGCTTCTGCGTCTCCTGCTGCTGCATGCGATTCTCTTTCTGTTGCTGCTTCTGCTGCTGCAGGAGCTGCTTCTTCTGCTGCAGTTTCTGCTGCTGCACACGTCGCCGCTTCTGCTGCTGCTGCTGCTGCTGCTGCTCCCGTTGAATCTTTTGCTTCCTTTGCTTTTGTAGCAGCAGCAGCAGCTGCTGCTGCCGCCGTTACAGCTGCTGTTGCAGCAGCAGCTGCAGCTGTTCTCGCTGTATCACAAGCTTCCCCGTCTGCTGCCGGTGCCCTTTCCTCTTCTGCTGCTGCAGCTGCAAGGGGTACTTCAGGGGCCCCGGGGGCCCCGGGGCCCCCAGGGGCCCCAGGGGCCCCAGCGGCAATAGAGGCCTCGAAATCTATGGGGCTTTCAAGGGCCCCCTCAGGGGCCCCTGGGTCCTGGGGGGCCCCTGGGTCCTGGGGGGCCCCTGGGTCCTGGGGGGCCCCTGGGTCCTGGGGGGCCCCTGGGCCCTGGGGGGCCCCTGGGTCCTGCGGGGCCCCTGGTTCCTGGGGGGCCCCTGGGACCTGGGGGGCCTCTAGTTCCTGGGGGCCCCCTGGAGCCTGAGGGCCCCCGGGTTGGGGCCCCAGGGGCAGTGAAGGGGGCCCCCCAGAAGGGGTACCGGTGGTGGGGGGCCCCCCAAGCTGAGGAGAATAGCTACCTGATGATAACAAAAATAGCAGTATAAAAACAAACAAATAAAAAAAATATATAAAAAGAAAAATAACAACAACCCCACCAATATAAAAATATAAAAAAAAAGAAAAAAAAAAGAAAAAGAATAAATAAATAAAAAATTTAATAAATATAATAACAACAACCCCACCACCAGCCAAAGAGAAACAACAGCAATAACAACATACACATAAAAACAAAAACCCTAAACCCTAAACCCTAAACCCTAAACCCTAAACATCCCCCTAACCCTAAACCCTAAACGCTAAACTCTAAACCCTAAAGCGAATAACAGCAACAACACCAATCCCCCTAAACCCTAAACCCTCAACCCTAAACCCTAAACCCTAGACCCTAAACCCTAAACCCTAAACCCTAAACCCTAATAACAACAACCCCACCAGCATGCAGCAGCAACAATAAAAGGGGCTTCATGTTGCCTTACTCACTCTTTTCTTCCGCCGCAGCACTCGCTGCAGGGTCTCCGCTTGCTGCTGCAGCAAACACAAACCCTAAACCCTAAACCCTAAACCCTAAACCCTAAACCCTAGGCCCTAAACCTGCTGCCAGCCTCTATGCAGCGTTGCGTTTCCTCTACCCTTCCCTCACCTTCTGCTTCTGCTGCTGCAGCATCTGCTGCTGCTGCTGCTTCTGCTGCTGCTGCTGCTGCTGCTTCATGGCCGCCGGCAGCAGCAGGATCAGCTGCAGCAGTTGCTTCCTT